TTAAAAACTCCTTTGTCTTAGACTACTATTAACGCATCAACTCTGACTCCTGGTGAGTCTATGTGTGTCTGAGTAGAACTCTATTTCATGGGTTTTCAATGGTTGTGTATTTCCTCCAACCCTCAAGATGTAGATCATCACGTCTTTCTTCAAGGCATCTCAGGCTGGATGAAAACCTCTGACTTTGGTTATCATGTCAAATATTTATACCTTTGTTGAACTTCAGTTTGAGTTGCATGTGCGCATTTGCATCTGTGAGTGTACTTTTACGATCACATAAACTCGAGTTCCATTTGTACTTTCCCTAGAATCTGTTGCCAAATAATGTTTTCTATATCTTCTATTCACAATTAGGCTAATTTAGAGCTTTTTCTTGTTATAATGAGAGGAGAGTGTTGCTGCTGGTTGCTGTTGGTGACACCATGTCTGTGGGGTGGAACTCATAAAGAAAGCAGACAAAGCTCTGACCTTTCACAAAGGGATTGCCAGGCATGTCCTCCAGGTGCTTCCAGGTTCAAATAGACAGTCTCAGGTGAGCATCTCACCATTTGCAACAATGAGGTACAAATACACATTATGTCAAGAATCACAAGCATAACTAACACATTCTCCACAAAAGATACAGCTCTCTGGTATTTGCTCTCACAACTCAAAACTTCTCTCCTTTGGAACCTTGAGTTGAGCAGAGCAACTGGACAGCTATCATCCTAAGTTCTGGACTTATTTCCTTATCCTTAATGTAGGAAACCATATGCCTATTTTCAGTACTTACAAGACTTATATCAATAATATTAATGATGAAATATTTGTGACTTCTTATTGTTAAATGTCAGCAAGTCAAGTCTGACCCGTAAGGACCTCAGGAACAACGGATCTGAACCTGCTTTATCCAGTGCCATCACTGCGATCTTTACCATCTTTGAGCCCAAGGAAACAGTCACTCTGTAAATCCAACTCCTCTCTTTGTGCAAGAAGGTCCTTCCAGTGAAAGACGTCCTCCTCTCTTTCACTCACCCCTCTATCTTTCACAGTGTGAGGTCTTTTACAAAAGACTGGCCTTTTCTAATAACATGCCAAAGTAAAATATGTGAGATGAAGTTTCGCCTTTCTGAACTCTAAGGAACACCTTGGTTGCTCTTCCTCCTAGAAAGATTTGTTCTTTTGGAATCTGGATGACCAATGATCTTAGCTGGAAATTCAATTCAAAGGTACCAATATTTTTTTAGTCTTGTTTATTCACTGTCTAACTTTCAGATGCACACACAAAAAAGCAACTGAAATAACATGGCATGCATCAGGCACACCTTAATTAGTCTTTAAACATTGTGACTTAGTCCAGCTACAAATTAACTGTCAATTTTTTTTAAAGTCTATAGGATACTTCCATAGACTCTAGAAAGAATTGTATTACTTAAAGGAAGGGAAGGGTGACCCACTTCGCTAACTAAAATATTATGAAATTAAAGGATTTTTCAAAAACCAAATAATATTTTGATTCTTGTGGATTTATTTTATTCCCTGGAAAAGGATATTATGCTTGGAAAAGAAGAGGGTTAACAAAATAGATAAAGAACAAAAAAATGGACTGGCAATGTAACTACAACAAGGGTCTTATGCACAGCAAAGATGGTAAGGACAGCACAGGAGTCAGAGCTAATTCAACGGTCCTTAATAACAACGAAATCTGGAACTAAACAACAAATACCTAAATGCTTCCCCATTCCCCCAGTGCACACATACAAGGAAGAATGACATATTCAAGATAAACACTATTGTTTAGCTTTATCTCACAAGATTTAAAAATATATGTTTTAGAAAAACATCGCAAGTGAAACGTGAAGTTCTACCTAGAGAGTTGGAACATGCAGGTCAATGTTTGACTTTTAGTCTCTAAATTCAAATAAAAAGAATCTCTTCCCTCAGCTATTAATCCTACTACCACTTTCGTCTAGACCCATGTCTCTAAAATTCATCATCAGTTTTGTCTTTTCATTCCTTAAACATTCTCTCAAACTACAAGTGGTGTTTCATTCTTACCCAATTACTTTTCAATTCTAACTCTCCCACTTCTTTGTCCCCTGTCTCCCACTTCAAGTTCTCTATTTACTTTCTCTAACAGGGTGTTTGGAAGAAAAGTCTGGTGACCCACATCAACAAACTGGCCATTGAAAATCCAGTGTTTCAATCCAGGCCAATCATGTGGCTGGTGTAGAATCAAGCACTGCTCCATCTCACTGTGCATATGATTGCCATGATTCGAAAACAAAATTGACAGCAGTTAACGATAATAACTACCGCTGTATAGTATATATCCCCAATACCAACTGAAACTGTTTTCTTCAGATTAATCATTGCCTGATGGAAACCAGATACTTTCTGTTCCTTTCCAGGTCTTGATACTCAATTTTAAGTCAACCTTGACTTTCTTGGATTCTTTTTTTGTTTGTTGTTGTTGTTGTTGTTTTTATTATTATTATTATTAATTTTAATGAAAGTTTACAGAGGTTTTGGATTTCCATTCTTTCTCCCTGCCCACCCCCTTGAATACGGTGACACTTTTCTCTAATGCATTACCTCCAATCTTTACATTATCTCTCATTAATTTACCTGTACTTTTTTTCTTTCCACAGTTGGAAGGTTGATGTTCTAGGGTTCTGGTCTTTACATTTTTCTTGATCTGTCAATCTTTTAGTAATTCTGGTCTAGAGGAAGGGAGCTGTACTGCAATCTCAAAGACAAGCAGTTCTAATCCCCCAGCTGCTCCACGGGAGGAAGCTAATCTCGTCTCATGCAATTTACTATCTCTGAAAACCTGCTGGAGAGTCAGCTATGAGTGGGTTCCCACTTAACAGCACAAAACAACAACAGCAATAGCAACAACAACACTATTTTAAACTACTCTAGTGGCCTAGTGGTAAATGTTGAGCTGCCAACCCAAAAGGTAGACAGTTTGAATCCATCAACTGTTCCACAGGAAAAAGACGGGCAACCTTCTCCTGTGAAATTTATAGCCTTTGAAAACCCACTGTGGGGTCAGTAATGAGTCACTTCTGACTCAATGGCACACAACAGCAACTACTTATGATTTTAAATAAGCCAAGAAAACCATAAAATTTGGAAACATATTAGGAGATGCATGGTACAGCAGAGGAAAACAAAATAAATATGATAATGAAATATGCAAAGATCAAGAGTGTAAAAATCAAAAGGTAAGAACATGGCCAGCATTTCTCGAGATGAAACCAGTAAAGGAAAAAAGTCAAGCCTTGAATAGTGAAGGAAGGAGCATATGATCAAAAACCAATCATACAAAGGAAGACATCCAAGCTACACTGAAGGCATTGGTGAAAAACAAGGCTCAAAAAATAGATTAAGAACTGTTTTGATAAATGAATCTAAAGCTGGAAGCATGCACTCATCTAGGTCAAGAATTTTGGAAGACAGCTACCAGCTGACCAATCAACTAGGAGGGATATATATTGGTAATCCTTCCAAAGAAAAATGATCCAATAAAATTGGGAAATTACATACTTATATTACGCGCAAGTAAAATGTTCTGAAGGTACGTCAAAGCTACTTGTCAACTACAGTGTTAACTAAGTTTTCTCTCATTCACTACAGTTTGAGTACCAACTGGTATTTGTCACTTAAGCCTGTGGCAAATCATTTTAAGTCTTAAAACCACATCCAATGTATCATAGGCTCTGAGGATATTTCTTCTCTTTTTATGTATGTATGTATGTATGTATGCATGTATGTATTCCTTCCTTGATTGACTGATTGATTGATTGAAAGCTCAAAGAAGCTTTATTAAAGGAGCTCCAGAGTGGGATTCCTTGGTCTGGAAAGAGAGACAGACCAGGTGAAAACCTAGCCCTAAGGTGGGTTTGGGCAGGTTTTTATTGTAGGATTTTTAGAGAGGGGAAGAGAGGGATATGCCATTGTGGTTTAGCCAGGTAGCCGAGGTCGTTCACTGTTCATTCCCTTTGTTGACATGTTGATAGTCTTTGAATCCTCCATTCTCCCCCTTGACCTTGGTCTGGATAAAAGAAATGACCAACTTAACCATGAACTAGCTGCTGTGACATTCATTTTCTCCCCTGGCAAATGACCCTGGGCCAACCCAGTCTAGCCTCTGAGCCCCAGATCTTCACCCTTGTTCAGGAGGAAGTAGCTAGAATAAAGATACAGTGTCCTTTTTCTCATTAAGAAGGCTGGATGTCTTCTCTCTTTTTAGAATGGGCTTCACAGCCCTTTTTATGTCCTTTGACAACCCTTGTATATGAGTCTGTTAGATTTAAAACAGCACTTACTTGTCTGTGTATAGGATATAGTGACTTATCCCACTCTGCAGGCACAATCCAGGGCAAACAGTAAGTGTCCCAAACTTGACAGTGAATCAATGATTCCATGATTATACTTCACAGTTATTCAACTGGCTGTAAAGGACCAAAATAAATTGGGTTAAATTGCCTCAACCATTTGCCTAAAACTGATTTGTACTTCTTGGTCCATTGAATACCAAATTGAATAACTGAACACACAGGCAAGAGCTTTAAAGCTATGAAATAGCTTGCACAAAATGCTTTCATTGTATACCTATTTTCATGGCATCAGGTTTGGAGGTAAATTCATCAATAATCTGCATTATGCAGATGGCAATACCCTGCTTGCTTAAACAGAGGGGGAGCTGACTGCTGCAGAAAGTCAAGGATTGCAGCCTTCAGTATGGATTGAAGCTCAACGTTAAGAAGACAAAGATTCTCACCACTGGGCTGACTGGCCCCATCGTGATAATGAAGAGACTGAGACTGTTAAGAGCTTTAGTTTGCTTGGCTCCACAATCAACACTCTTGGTACCAGCAGCCAGGAAATTAAAAGACGAATTGCATTGGGAAAGTCTACTGTCAAAGACCTCTCCAACACCGTGCGGATTCCCGAGCAGACAACACCTGAAGCCCCGCTCCGACTCCGCCTGTGTCCCGACCGCTGGCGCGACCATGTCCCACCACTGGGGATACGCCAAGAACAACGGACCCGCTGTCTGGCATGAGAATTTCCCCATTGCCAAGGGAGAGCGCCAGTCCCCTGTTGACATCAACCCCGAAGTAGCCAAGTAATACTCAGGTTTCACTCTGGAATTTATCAGTCTTTGGTCCTTTACCAAAGATGTCCGGAGTTGGAGCTGTTATGAGTTAAACGGCACAAAGTAGCCAAGTATGACTCTGCCCTGAAGCCTCTGAGCATTAGCTACGACCAGGCTGCTTCTCGGAAGATCTTGAACAACGGTCACTCCTTCAACGTGGAGTTTGATGACTCCCAGGATAAATCAGTTCTAAGAGGAGGACCCTTCGATGGGACTTACCGACTGATACAGTTCCACTTTCACTGGGGTTCGCCTGATGGTCAGGGTTCCGAGCACACAGTGGATTCTCAGAAGTACGCTGCAGAGCTTCACTTAGTTCATTGGAACACCAAATATGGGGAATTTGGAAAAGCTGTGCAACAACCTCATGGATTGGCTGTGTTGGGTATAATTTTGAAGATTGGTAGTGCTAACCAAGGCCTTCAGAAAGTCCTTGATATGCTGGATACCATTAAGACAAAGGGAAAAAGTGCCGACTTCACTAACTTTGATCCTCGTGGCCTCCTTCCTCAAAGCTTAGACTACTGGACCTACCTGGGCTCCCTGACCACCCCTCCGCTTCTGGAGTGTGTAACCTGGATTGTGTTAAGGGAGCCCATCAGCGTCAGCAGTGAGCAGATGTTGAAATTCTGTAGTCTTAACTTCAATAAGGAGGGCGAACCTGAAGAACTGATGGTGGACAACTGGCGTCCCACTCAGCCACTGAAGAACAGACAGATCAAAACGTCCTTCAAATAGATCAGTGGCTCATTGGTGTCTAAGTCTTACACCTTCAGACGTTTCCCTTTAGCTAAGCAGCTCCCACAGCCAGTGTCTGAATGAATGGATCTCTGGGCATTTCCCTTTAGCTGAGCACAAATCAACCCTGGTGATGGACCTGACTGATGGGGTCTGGTTCTCTAGACCTTTCATCTCCCACCTGACTTAACAATAAAATGTGAAGAGCTAGACCAGAATGGCTGAGAGCCCCACAGAATTGCTAAGACTGGTGCTTTCCTCAATAGTGATAGCTTTTCTGTAGCAGAATATAATACAGGGAATAAAATGCCTTGACTTTACTCGCAGGACATAGGGTGAAGGGCACTTAGAATTGTTCATGAACATGCTGTCTTCCAAGCCTAGGAAAGCAGAATGGTGGAAAGCCACGATCTTTGCAATTACTTGATATGCATCAGAAAGCTGGACAATGACTAGGGATGATAGGAGGAGAGTTCATGCCTTTGAGCTTTGGTGATGGAGAAGAGTATTAAATATACCATGGACTGCTAGGAGAACAAACAAGTTCATTCTGGAAAGGGTGAAGCCAGGCTGCTCCTTGGAGGCAAGGATTCTGAAGCTTTGTATGACACACTTTGGACATGTTGCAAGGCGGGATCAGTCCTTGGAGAGGGACGTCATGTCTGGGAGGGTTGAGGAACAGTGCAGGAGAGGAATACCCTCAATGAAATGGATTGATTCAGTGACTAGGGCAATGGGGGTAGTGTGTTGGAGACAGTGAAATTGGCATGGGATAGAGCAGGGTTTAGGGATGTTGTGCCTAGGCTGATTATGAGTTACAGGTGACTCAATGGCACATAAAAACAAGAACAGCAGCACATCTCTACAGTAAGCCTTTGTCACTCATACAAGAAATGACAACTGCACGTATAAATCAACATATGCATAATCTGACCTCTCTGGAACATGCTTCTCACACCCCACTACTTATGTCATCAGGAAGAGCCTAAGGCTTTAGTCACTGGGCTGATTTAGCTGAAGGAATATGCACACACAGCACAGAGCACAAGACATCCTCGGGGGGGTAAATGATCTTATAATGGAATAAGTAGAGTCCATATACCAGACACTAGGAGCCTAAATATGCATATTAATGTTATTAAAATTATAGTAGAAGGATGAAGAAATACTCAAGAATGATAATTAAGAAGAAATAATTGGAGGGACTGGTAGAACAACAGTAGAGTGAGTCAGTGCACTGGAAGCTGAGGTCAGGAAACTCATTCAGTCTAGGAAATACAAAAGCTAAAGCAAAGAAAATGGAAAGATAAGTCTCTGATGGTTAATGCTGTGTGTCACATTACCATTACCTTCAGTGTAATGTAACTATGCTACACGTGGTAATCTAACTTCTGTTAATGAAGAAGGATTACAAGCACATTGGAAAAGACAGGATCAGCTTTATCTGAGTAAAAGACTGCATATATATTGAATATATATATTCTATATATATAGAATATATATATTCTATATATATAGAATATATATATATATATATTCCATTTGTTTTTCTGCTCTCTCTAGAGAACCCAATCTAAGACAAGGGCCAATATCTAAAAAATGTCATTGCTGAACTGAAAATGAAGTAGGACTATAGATTGAGTGACTAGTTCTCGGAGAGGGACATCATGCTTGGGAGGGTGGAGGGACAACACAAGAGGGGAAGATGCTCTATGAGATGGCTTGATTCAATGACTGGGGTAATGAGGGTATGTGTGTTAAGAGACAATAAGTTTGACTCAGGATAAATCTAAAAAAAGAAAATTACAAACACAGGCTCAAACTACGCCAAGCTAAAAAGTCTCATTCACAGGTAGGACCAGACCAACTATTAAACATAAAGTACTGGGCACCAGATCCCGTTTGCCTACACAAGAGACTTTCCACCCAAGCTGACTGTAGACAAGATCAGAAACAGTTAATCAGCTTAGACTTGATTGCTAACCTGAATAGTCTACCATCAGCTTTCAAGTAAATCACAAACACTTATCTACCATGATCCAACTACACCAACCTAAAGTCTCACTCACAGGTAGGACCAGACTGACTTTTAAATACAAAGGCCAGCCCACCAGGCAATAGGCTGTATCATGATGGATGGAAAGGAAATTGAGACTGTCAATAGCTTCATCTTGCTTGGACCTATAATTAACATCCCTGGTACCAGCAATTAGGAAATAAGAGTGGCACTGCACCGTGAAAATCTGCAGTTAGGGACCTTTCCAAATTATTAAGGAGTAGTGATGTCAGTTTGAGGACTAAGGTGTGTCTGATTCAGGCCATAGTCTTTTCAGTGACTGGCTATGCATCTGAGACCTGGACAAAGAATAAGGATGACAGGAAAAGAATTGACACCTTTGATCTGTGGGGTAGGAGAAGTGCAGTGAACATCCTATGGAAGGCGAAGGGAACAGACATGTCTTGGAGATGGTTCAGCAAGAGTGCTTATTGGAAGAAATAATGTTGAAGCTGCCCTCACATACTTTGAACACATTGCTAGGAGGTTCTATTCCTTAGAGAAGGATATGATGTTGGGAAGGGTTGAGGGTCAGAAAAGGAGAGGAGGACCCTCAACTAGGTGGATTGACACGGTGACTGCTGCAATGGGCTCTTGTGTGTCAGGAAGTGTGAGGATGGCACAGGATAGGGCTGGCTTCATATCTTTTGTTCATACACTCTTAGTTGTACTTGACTTGACCTAACAACAACAGCAACAACAATAGATTGAAAGAACTCATAAAGACACATAAGATACATAGTAACAAATCTCATTAGGAAAAAAATAGTGAAAAAGAGTGAACTCTGATAAAACTGCAATCACATGAATCATAAAAAAGCCTCATTGCTATAGAGCTGAATGCAGCTCATACATTCCAGAGTAGAACCACAGATACGCCATAGGATTCTCTTGATTGTAATCTTCACAGAAGGAAGACACCAGGACATCTTTCCATGGTCTGGATGGATGGGATTAAACCATAAACCTCAGCTTAATAACTGAGTGACAAATGGTAACCCCAACCATGCATTATTAGGAATACATTGGTAGTCTAGTCTAGAAAAACTTTTTCAAGCAAATACTGTTAACTAATGATGTTAAACACTGTGGCACTGATGTGTCAAATGTGATAATGGTTACCCATGGTGAAGAGTAGTTGATGGAGCTAACCAGTTAAAACAAGCTTGGAAGCAGGAGTGGCATCCACTTCTGAAATAGCTTGCCTCCAGAAACTCTGTGAACGTGGAGGAAAATGATGAAAGTCATACAAGTGTTCAGGCTTTTCGCTCATAGGGTCGCTATGGGTCTTCTACGACTCGACAACACCCACAACAACAATAAATAACTTTAGTGTTTAATTGTACACATTTAAGAAATTCTTGCATATCAATTTATTAGAACTAATACCATCTAGAGGAATACCACTAGTCTATCAGTTTGTCTTGTGCTGAGGTGGGTTGCATATTGTGATGATGTGGGAAGCGATACTATTAATATTTCAAAGACCAGCAGAGTTTACCAGGGTGAGTAGATTTTAGTGGAGCCTCCAGGCAAAGTCAGATTAGAAAGCAGGATGGGTGATCTATTTTTGCAATAACTAGCCAGTGAAAACATTGTTGATAGGAGCAGATCACTGTCTGATGTATTACAGGAAGATGAGGCCTCCAGGGTGGAAAACATTCAAAATACAACTGTGGAAGAGCTGCCACTTCGAGCAGAGTCTATCTTAACGACATGGAGTAAATCTTTACAAATATTCCTTCTCTAATGTGGGAAATATCAAAGGAAGAAGAAACAGACGTAAAGATCTATCAACTGGATGCAGTACTGGAGGTGTTCACTTGTCCAAACCAAGATATTTGGAAAGCAGATATCTGGCCTACTAACCAAAAGAGACCCATATCTGTGCCCATTTTAAAGAGAGGCAATACAAGAGAATTTATAAAATATGGAACCACAGAATTGCTATCATCAATTAGTATCATCAATCTTGCTGAAGATAATGAAAAATCTTGGCAACAGATACCTTGAGAGCAAATGGCCACAAATTAACCTGAATTCAGAAGAAGCCAGGAAGGGAGGAATATCATTGCTGACAACTTGATGGAAACCAGAAAGATGTTTATTTGTGTTTTATGACCATGTAAAGGTATTGGTGTGGATGACTAAAAAGTATATAAACCATTGTAGGGAGTAGGAATTCCAGAACTCTTAATTGTGCTCATGTGAAAATTGTGCATGGACCAAGAAGGAAATACTGCACTTGAATAACAAGATACTGGGGAGTTTAAAATCAAGAAGGGTGTGCATCTGGACTATATCTTTTCACCATATTTACTCAGTCTTTATGCTAATAACACAAGAAGCTGGACTACATGAAGAATACATCAGGATTGGGGGAAAACGCAACAAAAACCTACAATATGCAGATGACACAAGTTTGCACTTTGAAAGCAAAGAAGACTTGAAGGCTTTACTGATGAAGTCCAAAATCTAGATAGCCTTCAATATGGATTGTACTTCAAAATAATGGGGGAAAAATTCCTCACAACTGAACCAATAATCACCACCACAATAAATGGAAAGATGACTGAAGTTGTCAAGAATTTCACTTCACTTAGATCCACAATCAACATCGATGAAATCTGCAGTCAAGAAACAAAATAACATGCTGAGTTGGGAGTACCTGCTTTAATGGACCTCTTTAAAGTTATAGAGAGCAAAGAAGTCACTTGGATGACTACTGTGCACCTAACCCAATATAAGTTCTTTATAACTGCTTCTCATGTAGGTGAGTCAGATAACAAGGAAGACCAAAGAAGAGTGGACACTTCTGAACTGTGTTGTTGGTTCATGTACCATGAACCACCAAATAAGCAAAGGACAGCCGAAGAACAAGTGCAACTGGAAGACCCTTTGTCAGCAAGGAGGATGAGACTTGTCTCAGATACAAAGTAATATT